CACCATTTTTAATAAAAAAATACTATTATTATTAACTACTACTACTATTATTAAATAAAAAATATTTACATGGCCCAAAGCAGCATGAAGGGCCCGAATTACAAACCCTCAAGCCCGTGTGACAACCCAGCAACAATTAGGGTTCTATCATGTTCTCACAGCCTCCAGGAATCATTGGATCTTTGCGTGATCCAACAAAATCAAACGTTGGTCATCATGACGTTTACACAACAATTCATAAACCTTATATGGTAATCTATAATATTTATATAATAATTTATGATGTTGTTGTGACAATACATGATGAACGATGATGTGATAGATTAACTTAATTAATATTTTTGGCTAAGTGGAAGGGTCTAATTGATTTTAAAAAAAAGTTTGAGAACTTATTTAATTTTAAAAATAAGAAATTATTAAAATATAAAATATAAATAATTATTAAGATATTCAATACATTAAATATAAAAAATATTACAAAATAAAATTATTAAAAACATTCAGTTTAAGGACCATGTTGAGTATAAAAAAATTGTGACCACATTTTTTTATAAAAGTTTGAGGATTTCTGGTACCATTAAGTAAAAAAATACTTTTAGAAGGATTTGAATATATGTAAGTTAAGTTAAAAATCTAGATATTGTGTTTTCTATTTTTCAAAATTTCAAAACTATTTTAATGAAAATACTGAAATCATTTTTTTTATGTTTTTATATTTTTCACTTATTCTGTTTTCATTTTCCACAAAACATTTTCTAATTTTACATCCAAACATTTTTTTTCAACATTTTCTATTTTGTAAGAAAAGTAAAAATTAAGATAACCTATATTTTCTAAAGCAACTGACTCTAAATCTCGATTCTATATTGATTAAGTGGTAGATATTACAAACTTGATTAATATAAGTTGAAGCTTTGATTTATGAAAATGTAAAACTATAATTATAATAATAGTTATTATTATTTAAGAAATAGATATTTGCATAAACCAAACAACCTCAATAATTAAAAAAAGGATGATTGCTATTTCTATAGACCTTAGGTTTAAGCATCAATCACTTGAGGTTATTTGAACATTTATTATTAAATGATTAAAAATATTTAAAACATATATTACGTATTAAAATCCTCTATATTAATTAAAGAAAAGAAATCGGTATCGCAAAGTCAGGGTGATTTTTTTAAAAAGAATTTTTTTTCTTACCAACGAAGGAATTTGAAAAGTTGATTTCAGGGTTTCCCGAATGATGACTATAGCCATCGAAACTGGCGGCTCGGTAGAAAGTATTTTTCCTTTAGAGGTAGTCATGGTTTTCAAAATCGGATCGATCAGTGAACCTGGACGTGCTACTGATTTACTGATTTAATCGATTGAACCGATAAGATCGGTCGGAAGAATCGGACAATGTCATAATTAATTAATTATTTAAAAAATTAAATAAAAATATGAAAAACATTTAATAAAAAACAGTTTTTTATATAACAAGTCATATTCAAAACAAGTCATAACATATATATATTAAAAACTATAAAATCAAGTGAAACAAAATAATTCAAATCAACTACAACATAATATTTAAGGTAAAACATATTAAATAATAAATATAATTATATAACTATAATCAAAAAATAAATTTGGGGCTAAAAAAATCATAACAAACGATATCCTTTGGTTTAATTTAAAAAAAAATCCCACATGGCTAAGAAACATAGAAGAACATCACAAAAGTCTAAAGAGTAAAAATATGAAAACAAAACAATCCCACATGATTAAAAAACATAGAAGAGCATCCTAACTGACTTATATAAATAATAGAGGTAATTTGACATTCAAAATCATCGAGCCTTTTTGAGTTCAAGTTTCAATATTATATTTCGAGTTCGAGTTGAACTTGATAATTTTTAGCTCGTGAGTTTTTGAGTTGAGTTGAGCTTACTTTAAAGTTTTCGAGTTTGAGTCGAATTCAACAATACTTGAATTCGACTCAGCTCGTTTAACAAACGACGTCGTTTGATTTAATTTTTTTAGAGCTGGTTCTATCGGTTTTCAACCGGTTCACGGTCCGATCCAGTTCGAACGGTTCACAGCCGGTTCAGCGGTTCCTTTCGGTTCACTAGTAGCGGTTTAACTGGTGTAGAATAAATTGGACCAGGCAGCGGTTTCCGATTGAACCGACCAGTCTGATCCAGTTTTCAAAACACTGAGTGGTAGTCATCGATAGAGTTTGACCGAAGGAAATGATTGATTCACAAAGATTGGACTTTGTTTTGGACACAATCTTAACTCTGCCTCAACGCTACAAATAACCCGTTAGTAGCATGTCGCTTCCTGCAATGAACAATAACACTACGTTAACGCGTACTTTAAGTAGCTCTTGCAGTTGGTTATACCTAGATTTCATGCAACTGAAACTCTCTAGGTTTCATACAACGATAAGCCATCGACATCAATTTTTGACGTTACTTTTCATGGTGACGAAGACTGGCATTAATGATATAGTGAAGGGCTGCAAGGTATCTATCCGCACGTTAATTATCCTGTCGGCTGCTATATCAAGGAAGTGTGCACCGAGCAAATGCAGGGCAAGCCACGTGTCTGCGTTTTGTACATACAAACCCCTCAGGTCCACGAGTGACAAAGATGAGGCCCAATTGACATTGTCCTTTCATATAACAGTGTCTCAACAGGCCCAATTCATTATAAAACTGACGATCATACTTTTATTTTATGCATTCACTTCCATTGCTTTAACTTTTTAAGTGGTAAATTTTTGTGTTTTTGAAGACTTTTAGGGATGATGTTATGTAAGATTTATTCAGAGGATAGGATTATTAAATGTAAAATTTTTATTATACATTTTAAATGTTATATGATTTTGATTGATTCATTCGATCAAAATATAAAGTTATGAGAATTCATCGAATGGTCTTTGTAGTTAAAAAAATATTGTTCTTTTTAGAGGTTCTAGGTTCGAGCAATTGCGTCTGTAGGGTGTGTGCGTTATCAATAGATTAAGAAAATTATGAACAAATATTATATTGTAATCAACATAGATTAGTAGAAAAACATAAAACTATGGTGTTTGGTTGTTAGGGTATAAATTCATCTTAAAATATATTTTATTAAATCATTAATAGATTTTTTTAAAATAATATTAATCTTTGTTATTAAATAATTAAATGTCACATCAACACCTCTATCCATATACGACACAATCATATTAACATGTGATGTTACGTAGGTTTGTTATGTCAATAAAGATGATAACCATTAATTAGTTGGCTAATAATTCTTATTCTCTTAACATAATCAAAATAGAATCACACATGAAATATGAAATGAAGGGTGGTCAGACGTTGAACCCTCTTTATTTGTCGCCGGTCTATCCTCCACATCCAACACCGATATTCATAAACGTGCATTAATTTTTTTAATATATATGTTTTCATGTGGGGTGGAAATGAGAAATGAAAGGCTGTACTCAATACTCATCGGCAGAAAGTCCAGTAACAGTTGCACATGCTTTAATTTGAGTTAATGCCCAGAGTTAAATAAAAGGGAAGAAGTTGTATTTTTGGAGTCTGGTCCTTTTTGCAGTTAGCAGGGGGGGGGGTGACTCATATGTTGGTAGCCGGTGCAAGGGTCGGATGAGGGTGTGGTCCGAGACCCAATGACACCGCATTCATCGTGCAATCAGCACATTCTTGGTTGAATTAAACCCTTTATTTTGTTCTACATTTCTGTCAGCTTTCTTTTTGGGTGACTTCAAAATCTGTATCCTTGCCTACTTTTAAATTGTTTCCTCTTTAGTTTGCAAGTTGGGATTCATCACTCACTGTTCGAACACTGATAAAGCTTGGATCAGGGCATGGATTTAATTGATTTCCCCAGCTAGTCTAGGGGAGAGGGAACCCATTCTGGCATGCGCCCCAGACAAATAATTACACCAACCATACCTACCTCTTCTGCTAATCAAACCAATTAATAGACTTATTGCAACATAATGGGTTCTAGATTAGCATTAATGCCTTTGTTATTGAATTATTTTATGTTCTTGTAGAGTATCATTACTATTATTATTATTTTGATAATGGTAGAGGGTTATTCTTACCTCTACATATGAGTAGATGTTATTATTTAACTTATTATATTTTTTCCCCAAAATTTTCATATATTTTTTCAAACTCAACTTGACACCAACTAATTTGTAGTTAAAGAAAGAGAAAGAGAATCGAATTGCATGCTTACTGATTCTCCCTTGATGCTCCACTCTCCCCTGCATGCATGGAAGATTTTCAGATTTGTCAAAGGTCAACTACTGCTCTCTCACACCAACTCTTCCCTCTATGCTCTATCTATCCCCATCATTTACCGCCTACTAATTATAAATAAAAAGGTTGGGTAAAATACACTAGAGATCACTGAACTATGCTCAAATTATAGATTTAGCTACAAAACTTTCAAAAGCTACAAAGAGATCATTACACTTATCAAACTTTTATAACATTGATTGATCATTTTGTAGCATTTCGATAAATTCAATAATTCTTTTTATAAGTTTTGAAAGTTTAATAATCAAAATGACCATTTGAGCATAAATTAGTGACCTATAATGTATTTTATTCAAAACATTTACATGTATTCAATTCACCCACTAAAATATTCAGAGCTAAGATTCAAAAACCCAAATATCAACAATAAGAAGAAGAAGAGGCATCCAAGCTTCTCTAACTCTTAGAAATCTTCACCACTACCTTAACACTTTCTTTACCCTATAAATCTCTGTTTTATTTTCTCTTATGTGTTTCTTCATTGTGCAAAAAGCTGCTACTCTTTCTGCTAAAGCCTTTATCTACTGATGACTCAGAGACTTATTTTAAATGCATTCTTATATCCTTCAGGTTTCCATATTCATCACAGCTTCCAGCTGTAACAACTAACTCCACAGTCTGCACACACTTCTTTCATTAAAGCACTGAATCCATTTGACCCAGTTTTGTTTTCTGAGCTTCTTGATGAAAAAAAATGGCTTTGATCAATATTCCCACTGGTCACATACAGGATAGGAAAACACTTTCAATCGAGAGAAAGTCATTGATGCTCAAAGATTACCTCAGAGACGATCTGAGTTCTTGCTCTTCTAGTGGTTTCAAATCGTTTCCACGCCGCCAGTGTTGCACCACCGTTCGGTTTCTTCTCGAGACCGACTCGAAGAGATCTAATCACAATTACTCAACTTCTACTAGACGGTTTTTAAAAAGAAGTCGATCGAGGCCAGCAGTTTCCACTTCCACCACCATTTCCACTCTGCAAAGAGCATCGGAGGCTGTACTTAACGCCGTCAAGCTACTGCCTTTTCCATCCACCAAGTCATCTTCGTCGTCGGTGCAAAGCAGTAGTTGGAGGAAAGGAAAAGGGGATTTACCCAGGAGCTTTGCAAGGAAGCTCTTCAAAAGAAGATTATGGAGAAAAGCTGACAAGGAATATAATCATGGACGTGGTGAGATCAAACGCTGGAAATTGTTTCGTGAATTTCTTGAAGAGAAAAACCAACCGTCTGTTCATATTAATATGACCAGTTATACCACCACCGACACCTCCTCCAGTACTGTTGTTGCTACGAGCAGAAGCAGTAACAGATGGGCAGATAGTGAATTTACAGCGAAGGTTTTACGGTCTCCGAGCAGTAACTCCGAGAGCTTGGGTGGTGGCGACGCTGTTTCGAGTAAAATAAATTTACGGGAGAAGAACATTGTCAGCAAAATGGTAGGCGTAACAGGTGGTGAGGATTCCATCAAGGTGATTCATTCAATATTTGTTTCCCGCTATTAATTTTTTTTTGTCTGATTGTCTGTTGATTGCGTTTTCTGATTGGTTGTCGCCTTATTATCCTTATTTATTTATTCTTTTATTTGGTATGAATAAATTACTAACAAATTTGGTGAGGGTATTATGAAGTTTATCGAGCGTTAGGTTTAATCTGTACACTTTAGGTCTTCATTTAATTAATTTGATATGAATTATTAAAAACATACTATTTTGTTCAAGTTTAATTATCCTTTTTGAAACTTATATATATTGGGTGGCTAAGAATAAGAATTATTTTGATTAAAAATGTTAGTTGTTGGTGCTTTTAGGTGAGTGGCTTGGGAATTAGGTTAGAAAAGATAATTCATGACACTGTAATGATTAATCTTGTTTGGAAAATAAAAAATGACAATTGAAGGAATTGGAACAGAATCGGGCAAACGACGAAACAAAGCAACAGTTGAGTCCAGTGTCGGTTCTAGATTGCCCTTTCGATGGAGAAGAAGAAGACGATGGGTCTGTTTTCGAAGATCAGTTGGCCCGAGTGGAAGGTCTCTCTCTTTCCTACATACCAATCTCCATTACTATAACAACCGCCATTAACGTATGTGGTTTGACCAACAGGAACCAAACAAAGACTCATGCAAAAGATCATAAGGTTCGAGAGGCTGGCTCAGCTGGAGCCACTGGAATTGGAGAAACGAATCTCATCGGCAGAGCTTGAAGATGAACCAAACCTTCAGATATCAGTTGAGCTATCGAAAGTCAAAATCCCAGATTTGTTCGTAAGGGAGAGATTACTGGTGGAAGAGTATGGGGTCAACATATTGAAGAAAGAATGGAAACAAGTTCATGTTAAAGAGATGGGGGAGTGGATTAAGTTTAATGTAGAAAAGGAAGAGGTTGGATCAGCGCTACAACTTGAGCTTTTCGCTTCGCTGCTGGATGACTTGTTAATTGATCTCATTTCACATTAGTTTCACTCTTTTTTATATTTTACATTAAAATATAATTGTTGTATCTTATTCTTTTTTAATATTTTTATAATATCATTGTTATGTCCAAATTAATAATTTTCTTATTTGGCATTTAAGTAATGCATGAGTTCTTTGATTATATATAGTTATAATCACATAAAAATCAAATTAATTATATTTAAATTGAAAAGAAATAATATTATTCTATATTAATTAGATATCAATATTTTCAAGCATTTGTTTTAAATAATAATATTATATGTTCTAAATACACTCAATCATTTGATAATGAACGCAATCATTCTGCCGCAACCGTTGGTGCTCGAAGCCGTGAACTCCAAGAATAATAATAATTTTTTTAACTACTGAAATAAGTAAATAGATGAGCAAATATACTCGATTGGTTGATCAAATTGATCATCTTTGTTTTCTCATATTCCTTTAGATTAAGAGTTTCAGATTCACCAAAAGCATTTATCTTCTTTTTTATAGTCCCTTATTCCCCTCATCTCTAGTTAAGATTATGATTAAATTTAGTTTTTATCAAACAAAAAGTTAATGGATTAGATCTCAAATTCAACATAATTAATGGACTAAAATCATAATTATACCCATGATTTTCTTGCAAATCTCTACCACGTGACTTGCATCCGATTTCCTTTCTTAGGGATTAGAACAAAAGAGTAACTGAGAATTTAGAGAAGTAAAACTAAAGAGACGTAGGCCATCTGAAAATTTTCTGCTTGGGCCTGTACCACCAACAGTTTTCTTTATAGCCCAAACATGTCTAACAGACTTGGTACACGATAGTCCAACTGTTAGAGCTAACTGGCAGAGAGTTACGCTCAACATTCAATCGAGTTAAGTTGACTTATTTTTTTTTTAATTTAGTCTTGTTGATGAATCTTATTTTATTTAAAAAAATTCAAGTCAGAATTGATTGAGTTTATGTTTAAATTTAATTATAAATATTTATTATATTATGGTACTAATTAATTATAACTCAAACAGTCTTCAATAATCATATGCAACATACATATATATATATATATATATCATATAGAGGAGAAACTTACTCGGACTTCAAAAATGAATTTACTAATTAATTTTGTCTGTCTTGTTCTGTCTGCTTGTTGTATCACATTTTAAGCCTCTTTTAGCTGGTAAAGAATTATTTAAAAAGCTCCACGTGAGAAATGTTATATGTCATGACCCCGTGGAATTAGAATGCCTTTGTATATATTTTAATCTAAAGAGAAATTTTGCAACCAATCACAATAGTAATGTTAGTTTCCATACACCGCATGTGCTTTATGAAAAATTTCTTTCCCAAGGCTGAATCTGATCCTTTTCTTGCTTTGTTGCAACTAAAATTTCAGATTGAGAAGATTGTCCTTTTTCTATTGGAGCAACAAGGCCTATACGCAAGCAAGTTAAAAAAGCTTAGAGAACAGAATGATGCTCTTGAGGAGCATCCACAAATATCCAAAATAACTGAACTAAGAGAAGCTTACAGAGGAGTCGGACACAATCTTTTGCAGCTTCTCTATTTTGTTGAAATGAATGCTATTGGTCTGCGAAAGTTATTGAAAAAGTTTGATAATCGCTTTCGCTATAGATTCACTGATTACTACGTTAAAACACGCTCTAATCATCCTTACTCTCAGCTGCAGCAAGTGTTCAAGCATGGTAATGAGCCAAACTCAGACGGACTTTGCCTTCCTTTCAATCAGTCCTATTTCTTTAATTAACATCTGTTAGCAGTATACTTAGAAGCTTCCTGAAGATGAAGCTGTTATAACAGCTAAGGTTGTTAGCAAGTTAGTTTTGTTGGTTTTGGTTAGTTGCTCGGTTAAGGTGGTTGTATTAGCAGCTGATACAGCTAAGAGTAGTAGTATATAAGGAGCATCAATCTTGTACTCAAACACACGTTTTACATAATAGCAATACCCAGATTATATTCCCCTGTTATTCACATTTCCAATAAGATCCAGCTCTTTTCTATACGAGATTGTGAAAATGTAACAGGTTGGCATGTAGAAGTAGTTTTAACAGTATCCATAAGATTATTTTCTAAATGTAAAATTTGCAGGGTTTAGGTGCTGTTGCTGGGGCAGTATCTCGTAATCTTCATGAACTTCAAGACCGTCAGGGAAGCTACTTATCAATTTATGATTCGCCCTACCTTCCTCTCCAGGTTTCTGCTATATATACATTTTTATAAAGTTTTCATCTTATTTTCTATGCAAAATTGTTATATGGTAATAAAGATATGGCTACGCAATTTTACTTACTCGGTTTATCTGCAGGATCCTGTGGTTGATTCAATAAAAGCGGCTGTTGATAGGTTAACTCACTCAACAAACTTCCTAAACTTTATGGCACAACATGCTCTGATTATGCAAGAAGAGCTGCCTGCTCCCGTGGAGCGCCGCATTGATGAAGAGAAATACCATTTTATGTCACTCCTCCTGAACTTAGCAAACCCATTCCTTTATATGGTCGATCCATATATTATTGTCCCTACAGCAGATAACTACTCCATGAGCCTTGGAGCTGCTGCAACAGTTTGTGGTATTGTTATTGGGGCAATGGCTGTTGCACAGGAGTTTTCTTCAGTGTACTTTAGTGCGTGGTCTAACAAATCATACTTCAGACCTCTCATATTTAGCAGTATTGTCCTTTTTATGGGAAATGCTCTGTATGCGTTGGCTTGTGATCTGAACTCATTAACATTCTTCTACTGGGTCGACTTTTTTGTGGGCAAGTCTTTGTCCTCTTTATCTTCTTTTCTTCTCATCGGAGCTCACAGAACCTATAGTGATTGTGGTGGAGTGGTCATTGGGGTTTTTGGTTTTTCTTGGGGTGCTTGAGTTTGCCAGGGTTTGATCCCTGGTTACTGAAGCTAAGAGTTTTAACATTCTACGAACATACCATATGGCTATTAGCAGCACGGTCATTATTGAGAGAGAACGAAAGCTCGCAGTAGTCAATATAGATTACAGTATGGTAGGACTTCTTAGTGGATAATGACTCTAACCTAACCATTCCAAATTCTCTTATTGAATTAGTTATTATTTGTCTTATATGTATGTCAAACCAGAGTCTTATTGGAAATATAAGTAGGAATAGAATCAGAGATTAAATATGGCTTTAGGACCCAATTGAACTCAGTAGTGAATATTATTAATTTGAGAGACTAGGAGCTATGTTTCATTTTTATTTTTGCCATGTAACTTGATAAAATTAATCTTGTCATTACAGTTTCGGTTCTGCAAGAGCTGTTAACCGCCGGTATTTCAGTGATTGTGTACCCCTAAAAATCCGAATGCAGGCATCTGCTGGATTTGTTAGTGCCAGTGCTTTGGGAATGGCATGTGGTCCTGCTCTTGCTGGCATACTTCAGAAAAATTTCAAAATTTACAAGTTAACATTTAATGCAGTCACTTTGCCAGGATGGGTCATGGCTGTTGCTTGGCTCGTATATCTGATATGGTTGTGGTTCTCATTTAAAGAACCAGCTCGTTATATGGAAGAGAATAATTCTCCTCATGCAACGAATTGCGGTATGTTTTCTTCTCAGTTTGGCTTGATAGGTTTATGCATATATGCTATCATGTCTTTATCAATGATCAAGGTCTTTCCAATCTATTTAATTTAAAACCAAATAATTAGTTTGGGAGCTCTTCCTTTTTTAATTTTTCTTCTTTGTTTTATTTAGTTACCAGATATATAATGCATTAAAAATTATTGATAGGCATGTTCTACCATGTGAATACAGAAAAGGCAGAAAAAAGTAAACTTGAGAAAGGTCTTAAACAACCATTTCTGATTACTTCGGAAGAGAAGAAAGAAGATGATGAAGACCCAGAAGCAAATGGAAGTGAAGAAGATCCTGAGGAATCTCGTCGACCTGCTACATCGATGGTTTCAGCCTATAGATTACTTACACCCTCAGTCAAGGTATATGATTAAACAATTACTGGCTTGAGTTCCAAAAGTTATATAGATTAGTTGATTGTCCATCTGATGGTATTTGCGATTAAAAGTCGTTAGCATACTTAAATGAGAAAAAGTGGACAAGCAAGATGTTCATTTTTATCAACTTGTTTGTACTTGTGTATAGCTCTAACCAAAGAAAATGATCTTAGTTGTTGATATATTTGGAAGTTCTCTAACCCGAGTTCTAATAATATCACCAGGTTCAGTTGTTGATATATTTCATGCTCAAATATGCAATGGAAATTCTACTTTCGAAGTCTAGTGTCATCACCTCATACTACTTCAACTGGTCAACAAGCACAGTTGCCATCTTTCTTGCATATCTTGGCTTAACAGTTCTTCCTGTAAACATTGTTGTTGGGAGCTACATTAGCAACATGTTTGAAGACAGGCATTTTTGAAAGGCCTGTACCCTTTTTAACATAAATCAGCATTCATATTGTTGTTGATCTTCGCTTTGGAATTTGTGTAATGCATCCATTTTCGTTGGTTCGTTGCAGACAAATTTTGTTGGTATCTGAAATTGTGGTTTGCATAGGTATACTGCTTATTGAAGTGAATATTCTAGAATGAATCTAGAATGAGCTGCTGAAGTAATTTGCTGTGTGTGTGTGTAATGTAGTGCAGTAAGTTTGTTAGGATTCTGTTATACCAGATTACCAGCTTGTGGAGTTAGTTACCACGTGTATATAAACCATGTGTTGTTAATGAAAAGAACTAAGTAACTTCCATCAAGATTTCCAGCTTTCTTTACTCATTCTAATATGGTATCATCCGCCTTGTGATCCTGGAGGTTGCTGCTTTCATGGGCGATTGCAGCAATATTGCTTTTGAGTTCGGGGAAGCTGCTCGTAGCAGCAAGATCTTCACGCATAAGAAGATCAACATCTTGCTGGATGAAGCGAATTATTTGTTGTGGAAACAACAAATACTGCTCACGGTTCGCAGCTACAGATTAGAGAGGCTGCTCAATGGAGAGTTACTACCGCCACCTGCTC